CACACGCCAGTTTGCTGCAAGAACAGGCCCATTGGGGTTGCAGAGCATTCCCTGCAAAGTGGGCAGAAGGGCCATGTAAAAATCAAATCCACATGACTGTAGTTACAGGCAACCAAAGAGAGGGTTGCTCTTCCAAGAAAAACTTTTCCATGTAAAAGAATTCTTAATCTCCCCTTTGACTGTCATTGTTGAAATGATGGCTTCGCAGGCTTGAAATTTAAGACCCTATCGGCGTCTTTTCTGTTAGCTGTGATTTATGAATGGTTTCGCTGTTGATTATCCTCCAAGATTACAGCACAGCAGCCCTGACAGACAAGCAGAGGAAATTTCACAGGATAACGGGCAGCTCCTTCTCCAGGGCAGTGAGGCAGGGAGGTGTGTTTGGAATCCAGTATGTAACAATATCAGCAAATGCCAACTGGACTTCACAGGTAATCGAATACTCATCATGTAACGCCCTACTCAAAGGCAAGCAGGGTCAGCAGAAGTTTTGATGTTGATTTTTTGGTGCTTCAGATCCTTTACTCATTCTGTAATCCAACATTCAGTTGGGGGCTTTTGCCTTAACTGTGGCACAAACTGTACAAACTGCAGTCACATGCATTTTCATACAACCCTGTGCATGTTCTTCAAAGACCATCCTTCCTTACTGCAGTTGCAAAGTCTACTGTCATGCCTGGGAGATGCACCGTCTTTATTCAGGCTATTCAAAGGAAATTTGCTTCCTTTGATTTATTGCCAAGAACAGGCACTCCTAACCCCAGAAAAGATTTTTTTGTGCTTTTCATTCCCATTTCCTGCTAGACAGTTTGTTCCAAGTCACTGCTAGGAGGGCTGTTTGTCTGATGAGGGTAGCAGGGCCAGAGCAGGTGCAGCCATGACTTGAGGGGGCTGTGGCCTTCACTGGAGCAGACAGCCAAGACTTAGAGTCCAGGTTGAAAACATTTCTGATGTGGGGGCTGCCTAAAAATTAATGAGTAGACCTCAGGAGGTGATTTTATCTCTTGATAAATGGCCTGTGCTTTTCAGACAGAAAGGTTCCTTTGATTTGAACTCTGCCATACTGCCCTGCAAAATGAATCATTATTGTGGTTTCCAGGTCTAGCACTATGGATGTGCTTCCTGCTCTTAGTATCACATCTGGACCCATGCAGTGAGCAGTGGAATGCCACCCCCCCTTTGGATCATTTTTGGCTGAGGTGAACAACTCCGTGGTGAGCCAGGCAAGGGTGGTCTAGGCCTGACGTACCCGTGTCCAGCTCTTTGGTCACATTCCCTTCAGTGATGCTGCTGTTTCAGCGCCTTTCAACACGATTGTCGGGAACACATGGCAGAGAGGGGAGGCTGCACTTCTTTGGAGAGAACCAGAGAGCACAGTAACATCCAGCCGTGGCCCAAGCTTTCTTACTGGGACTAGTTACGCTGTGGGTGTTCTGAAGGATCGGGTTCGACACTGAACCAGAATGGACATTCCTAGCATTCTTCCCATTTTGCCACCCAGCCTGCTTCAGAAAAAGTCCTGATGTAGGTGTTTGTATCCTGTCTCTTTCTTCCCTCACTGTATTTGTCTTTCAAGCCTGGCAGCAGTGGAAGGAAACTTAGCACGTGATGCTGACACTCAGCCATGTCTGTGGGACGGCAGATTCCTAAAGTACTCAAATCTAGCTAAGAGAATAGCTAGGAAAACAGGAGGCAGAGGACTCATAAAAGCATGGAGAGGCTTGAGTCCCAATGGATTCAAGGAGTGATAGCAGCTTTTATCCAGAAGCAGAGCTGTTCACAGCAAGAAGGCTGTCTGTGTTCCTGCCCCCACTTCCCCCACCCCCCCCCCCCCCGCCCCACTCCCTCTCTCAGGACCTCCCACCTGTTTCAGGATTGGACCTGGGTATTGCATTTTATAACAACTAGATCAATAACAAAAAGTTGGAGAAGCTCTGAGAAATGTATGCTTCAAAATGCCCTCTCTACTTGATGTCAGAACTGCACCTCTGCCTGAGAGTGAATCTTAACAGATACAATCCTGCTGGAATTTTCCCTAGTTTTCTGCTTCTTGACTCCCAACTCCTTATTTACAATTGTTTTACACTTAAATTCCCAGCTAGGCGGGGTTATTCCTTCAGAGTTAGTGCTGGTAGTGGAGGCCACTGTCCACCAGCCCGTGCCTTCACACACTGCTGCCCTTGTACCACTGTGCTTGCACCTGTTTGTCCACACTCAGCTGCTTCAGAAAACTCCCCTCCAGACTTTTCCTTCCTCTTGTCCCACCATACACACAAGGGCCCAGTTTCCCTGTTCCCAAGCCAAGACACAGGAATGTACCAATCCCTAGTGATTCCTTCCAGCAAATTAAGAATTGCTGAACTAAAAAGAGGGTTTCAGTAAAGCAACATGGTCTCAACTGAAAAAACCTGCATTTGTTGTTTTTCTGCTTCAGTAGGGCACTGTGCAGTATTGACATCCTGTTTCACCAAGTCTAATTCTATACTATGCCATATATACACCTGTGTCTGCACACTGTATCCTACACTGAGTTTCAATTCAGGCTGATTTTCACTGGCCAAGAGCTGGATACTGGGGCTCCAGGAGGACTGACCAAAGAACGAGTCATTTCCATCACAGCCATCAGGACAGCAGCGTTTCTTACCACCTGCATGCCCTGTGCTTTACACAACAGCGCTCAACTGGGGTGAGAAACCCACTACTAACTTTAAACAGAATAATAATAATAATAATAGCAACTACAACAATAATACCACCCTATGTATACACACATGGGCTGCAGAACAACAACAACAATGACAATCAAAATACCACCATAATATGTGCACACACATGCCCTGCAGAGCCCAGCAGCAGTTTTGCCAGTTATAAGTGAAGTCAATATCCCTACCAGTGCTTGGGGATGCTCAGCAGCGCTTAGTATTTCAGGTGTTTAGAGCTCAGCAACCTCTAAACTATGAACAACCAATTTTGAGCTAAACATGCGTCCTACAGAAATCTACATTTAAAATATACATTATTTAGCTCCAGGAAAGACTGGATTGCAGTTTTTCAAAACAAGAATCAGAAAAAACAGTCTCGCTTCAAATGCTCCCCAAACTAAAATATACCTTTCTAGGACTAAAGGACAGTGCACTCACCCCTGCCCAGTGTCTCTTTTTCCTGCTCCTTTTTTCTCTGTGAAGGAAAGCAGCTCTGAAGACACTCCTTCCCCTTGCACATATAGTCTTGCCAGTTCAGGAGAGGGGCAGGGGAACAGGGCTGCAGGGGAACTGCTGGGCTGAATGCCTGAGTTCACAGCGTTAACTGGCCAGAGAATCCTATTACGTGATAGGTAGCAAGCCAGGGACTAATTTATGGAAATTTTGACCTTTGGTCCCCTTTGACATTTTCAGATCAGCCATAGCCTGTGTGAGACATTAGAGCCCTTACAGTAAGGGGCTCTAAAGCAGCCTGTGCAGCTGCTGGAGCTGGCGAGCGGGTCAGAGGTAAAAATTCACTGAGGTTCGTGTGTGGGCTGCTCGGTGCCTGTTTGACATTTACAAATCAGTGACATTCTTCTGCACAGCTCAGTGCATACAAATCACTTCAGTCACTCCGAGGAGGGCCCCTCATTTCAGTCAAAGGTGGATTTGGGCATCCTTGGCCTTTCCTTTTGACTTGAGCAAGGCTACGTCTAAACAAATCCAGTTTTACCACCCTACAATGTGACCCGCTCCCTCAGGAGGATGGAACGTGGGCACTTTCATATTCAACCCAACCTCCCAGGGCTTTGTGCCATTTTCATGGCTTGGATGTAAAGCCTTCACCACTAGGTGTGATACCAGACCCCTCAAATTTTCCTCAGTTGCCACAACAAATGTGTTTGTCGGTTTTGTAGCACAAACAGACACAGTCTCATTCCACCGGGTGCTGGGCCAACTCAGACCAAGAGAAGGTGGCCAGTTGTATTGCAACAGTTTCCCATGGAAACCTATTTGCCATGAATAAAGTTCCACCAGGCTGAGCTGTATGAGTGGGCTTGCCCCAGATTTCTCACAGTCTAGACTCTATGTAGAGAGAAAACATGATGAGAAAAACACAACCAAGGCTGTGGACAAGGTAACATTAGCATCAGCCAGTTATTGTGCAATAAATGACCATATTGGCTTCAGCCAGCCTGACCTGTTTAACCGCTGCTGCTTCCCCGAACCCTGAGGGTTGATATGGACTCTGCATTCACCTCAGTGCTGGCAGTGCCTCTGGCACGTGATGCTCCTTCTGGCTAGAGGCTGTGCTGGGATTTGGGATGCTCTCCCATGGCCTTTATGGTTGTCTCCAGCACATGACGGGTGGGATGGGGAGGCCACGTCCTTGGTAGCAGACCAGCAGCTGTGGAGCCGAAGAAAGAGGTGTGAAGGTGCAGGAGGAGGCACGAGTGCCATCACGAGGGTATGGTGGCACAGGGCCCAAGACTGCCACAGTGACCTGCTGCCTTGGTGAAGCCACCCTTCGCCACCTCAAAGCAAAGAGAGATGATGGCTCTTGAGAGAGTCTCTTCCCTGGTGCCCACACACCATGACAGTGAAGAGAAAAGCTACTTTGGGGATGTGGGGGTGAGAGAAGTACGAAAATCAGAACTGGGAGGAAAATCAGACATAAGTGAGAGAAAACTCTGACAGCAGTGAGGGAATGAGCGGAGGGAAGCCGCAGCCCAGGATAGGTTGGGATAGGTGGGTGGGTGAGGAAGCCCTTCTCCCGACGCCCGGGAGGGACAGGGCGGGCGGGCGGGAGGCGCCGGACGCGCTCCGCGCCTGGGAAGCGCCCGAGAACGTGTGGCCGGGGCAGAGCTGGGGGGCCGGGGAAAGGGGAGGGCGCTCCCCGGCTCCCTCCCACCCTCTCCGGATAAATGGGCCGCCGGGAGGCGGCGGGCGGGCGGTGCAGCGTGTGGAGGAGCGCGGCGCGTCCCCATCCCGTCCCCGTCCGGTCCCTGTCCCGTCCCCCGTCCCGCCCAGCGCTCCCTGCCGGCAGGGCCGCCCCGCGCACACGGCCGCGTCCCCGCGGGGCTGGGCGGGGGGATCGGGCTTCGGCTTCCCCTCCCCGGGAGCGCCTGACGGGCGGGCAGGGCCGGGGCCGGTGGAGGGGAGGCGGCCGAGGCACCCCGGTCCGGCCGATGCTGGCGCTGCCCCGCGCAGCACCGGGTTCCAGCGGGCTGGTGGCGGCGGTCGGGACTCAGGGGGGGCCCCCCGGCGTCCCTTCCCCTTCCCTCCCTCCGCGGCGGGCGGCCCTGGAGGATTTTCTCCCGCCGCGGCCCCCTCGCTGCCCCCCAGACATGGTAGGTCACCTCCAGCTGCAAGGGATGGACGAAAGCCTGAAGGAGAAGAGCCGGGAAGGCTTGCTGGACAGCCCGGACTCGGGGCTGCCCCCCAGCCCCAGCCCCCCCTTCTACTCGCTGTCGCCCGGTGAGGGCCGGGCAGGGGGCAGCGGCGGTGCGGACCCCCCGGCCCCGGGGCACCGGCGAGAGGCCAAGGACGGCAAAGTGGTAAGAGCCAGACCCGGGCGCCGGGCTCTGTCCTCTCCGGGCCCCGGGGGGGAAAGGCTGGCCGAGCCCCGGCGTGGGGGACAGGCAGGAGGGCGCCTGTGCCCGCTGCCGGGACACCCCCGGCCGTGTCCCCTCCGCTGGTGGCCGGGGGCTCTCGGGCTGCCCGTGGCAGCTGCAGTCCGGTGTTGGCACCGCCGCTGCTGTGCCAGGCAGGGCTTGGCCCAGTGCCAGGCGGGGTTTTCGGATACGCTCCCAAGAGTGTTGGCAGTTTGGCTGGGTAAACTCGTAATAACGGTGTGGGAGCGAAACCCAGGTCTGAAACAGGCTCCCCTGCCTTACCTTCGGAACAGACAAGTGTAACTGCTCCTCAGTGACACTGCGCTGCCTGGTAGGTGCAGGTTGGAGCTGCATCCATCCGGACCGAGGCAGGGGCATCTGGCTCCCAGCCATCCTGGCATCCCACATCTGTTTTGTGAGGAGCGCGTAGCCACCTTTGCTGAAGCCCTGGCTGAAAGAAAGACAGAACTGCCTGTTAGCTGGGGCAGGGTACAGATGAGTGTCCGAGGAATTGGGACAGGGGCTGGGGCAGGCCGTGGCTGCCGCCCTTTGCTGGAACGGGGCTTTGTGGAGTGAAGGGTTGCTGTTCTGACGGCCGAGCGGAGCAGGGGTAGTGGTTTGTAAGCTCAGCTGGCAGAGCACAGCAGATTTCGGTCAGCCTGCTGCAGTGCCAACGAAGCGGTTCACTGTGGACTACTATTTGGGTAGATTTATTATGACTATTATTCTGTTTTATTTGTTTATTTCTATCCATGGGCTATAAAAACTGTTTTTAAAACACAAAGTTCAGAGTACAAGCAATGGTGGTGCAGGCTTTTAAAGGATGATGAAAGTTCTTCCCTAAGGCTCTTTAAAATTTTTTTAAACATATATAAAAGATGTTTGTAGGTGTATTCAACACAGTTAATTGGCTTCTATATTGAATAGAAACTGTGGCACAAATCTTTCTATGAGAAAAATTTACCTACCTGTGGATCAGTGACAATTCAAAGACTTCTTCCCCACAGAAGCATTTTGCAATGACTTGTCACACCCTCGTGCACTTTCTCAAGTTCTAAGGCTATTTTATCATATTATTAAAAACTGCCTTTTACTCCTGAAACTGCCAAAGCCTTCCCCATAAACAGTGACTCCTCCTCACCAGACTACAGTGGGGAGAGTGTGAGGTGTTATTGCAAAAATCAAATCCCAAAACCTACTCACGCCGCGGTTCCAAATATGGAGCCTTACCTGCAGATGCCTGGGGCGTGTGTGCCATCTTGATGGGACTGTTTATGTACAAAGAGTTACCCATACACCTCTGATTTGGCAGGATCAGGCTGTTGCTATGTATCTGTAAAATAAAATGTGGGAGGAAGGTGAATGAAGGCTGCTGGACCAGAAAACAGCTGGGGTGGAGGTGTCTGCAGAGCTCTGTAATAGGGATATGACAGTTTCTGTTCCAGTAGTATGAGAGTTGGCCACCACTCCACCCAAGAAAGCCCTTAGATATCGAAGATGAAAGAACAGGAGAAAATTTATTTCAGCTCATGGGCTATTAGGACTGAGAGTTTTAGTACTTGACTCCTACAGGGGAAAAAAAAGTTATTCCTGTGATATAGGTAAGGCAAAAATAGGTTTTCCAGTTATTTTGATCATAAATCAACATTTTACAGAGTTCAGAGAAACTCACACTGTAGATGCTTCCAAATTTTGTATCGCATTGCAAGGGTAGCCCTTGGTTCCTGCTCTTAGAGGACGGGTTCCATACATTGGGAGTATTTTCATGCTTTTAGGAGGTACAGAAGGTTACAGGGATCCAAACACTGAAATCACTTGGACTGTATTGTTTGGAGTGGTGCTGGACTGTGCTCTTTAACTGTGTTTGGTGCACTGCAAAATAATGAAGTAAGTAGGAACTTTCACTCTGTTTGACTATACAGAGAGTTTCACTTCTTCTCAGTTCCACCCTGCGAATACTGTGCTCGCAGCTGTTATTAAAGCAGGAAAAATACGAAGAGCGTTGCTTGCTTCATACTTCTAAATTGCAGTGTCTAATTAGCTTTAATCTTGCTGTTTAACAAGGACTTGCAGATCTATGAGCAGTTATGCAATCCATGAATGTGCTTCTGTTTAACTCTACTCCTCTGCAGTTCATCAGAGCATGCAAAATTGGCAAATCAATAATTGCAGCTATTTGCGCACCAAGAAATGCCTTTTTAAATTGCCTGTTATATTAGTGTTTGTTTTGCTTACAAACATGACAGAGCCAAGAACGCAGCCTGCACTCTTTGTGTTAGAATACTATAAAACCTTATAGAAACTCAGTCAGTAACGGCCAAAGTTCCAGTATGTACAGTAACAATAAATTGCTGTCAGGTGAAGAAAACAACATTCCAGATCTGCAGGAAGTATTTCATACTATTCTTTGCTGCAGAACTATCAAACCACCAGTCTGAGCCCATTTGGTTCATTTTGCAGTCAGCTATTTTGCTCCAACTTCACAAATATGTTACAGAATTTTTCTGCTCATGCCGACTAAAAGGAGATTGCATGCCCTTATCGAGGACTTTCTTGTGTTTAAAATCTGTCTCTCTCTGCTCTGTGTTATTAACTGTAACTCTGAAAAAGTAAACTCTCTGCTCTTTAATAAGCACAACTTTGTTTCAAAGACAATGCACCATTTATTCACATTTAGCCAGCCAATTTGGGAACAGCTTTGGGATCCAAGAAAATATGAAAGGCAATTTAGGGCCAGAGTCATAAATACCACAAGTTCAACACCATTTAGGGACTTTTTTTTTTTTCATTTTACTTGCAGTGAAGGAGAAATTGGCTTTTATTTCTTCAAATAAAGTCCATATAGGGAATTTGTCAAGTGTTTTGTGCTTAAGTGCAAATATCCTAAGGAAAATAGAAGGTGACTTTTACCTAGTTCTGCCTCTTAAATCTGAAACATGATTAAATTGATTCTTATGACTTGGGTTACTGAATTCTCTAGGCTGTGCCCATAAAGTTGGGCCAAAAGGAACATAAATACAATGAAATAAATCTCTAATAATATGCACAAAGAAGCAGTTGCTGAAAAGGTAGAGAATGAAATGACATCAAAGTAGCCAGATCTGCTTAGAGTTTTCCCTGTTGTTGTTGCCCTGGGATATAGTTTTAGGCTAAAAGAACTGTTTTTTAGGCTGTGTTGAAATAAATGCTTTGCATTCATCGGCACAACTCCTAATGGATATTGAGGGAGATCAGGATCACATTCATCTGCAGAACTATCAATTGTACCTTCTTGAAGCAGCAGACTTTGTGTTCCTTCCCAACAGTGAAGGGAACTATTGTCACTGCAACAAGTTCCTTTTCTTTGAAAGACTTTTAAGTATTTGTGCATTCAACCTGCCTGACTGAGCACTGACTTCTGTGGGACTATATCCTAGTGAATCGAGCTGCAGGGATATAGGGAATTTCTACTTACATTCAGGAGCTTGTTGGACAACAGTGTGGTGCCAGAATCAATCTCGTGGTGGGAGGAGTTTCCAGCTTCATCTCAAGCACAGAGGAGACATTGCCCCTTGGCACAGCCTTCACAGGCATGGTCCCAACAATGGGATTTGTGTCAGCACATGTGCCAACCCTGCTGGATTTAAGGCTGATATTAAAAAAACCCAACAAACCCAGAACATCTCCTCCTAACATCCTAACTAACAAAGCCCTCGGGCCACAGAGCCAGCATCTTGTCCTACACTGGAAGTGCCCAAGGAAGAACAGGGGGCTGTCTTGTAGGGGCTGGGTGGGGAACATGGCCATTGAAGGATTTCCAGGCAATATGTAACTTCCAGACCTGCCAACACCTGCAGTGAAAGCACACGTGAACACCCCAACCTGAGCCAGCTTGCAGCCTGCACGAGGCAGGTGATGTGATTCTCCAAGGCCACATGGGTCCCAGCAGCTCTGGGGAAAGCCCCAGGCTTGTGTGGGAAGCAAGGCACCCATCTGGCACCACAGCAGGGCTTGCCTCAGGGGTTGGCGTTGGCAGCCTGGCATCCTGACCCACTTCTGAACCACTCCCACAGGGCCAGATCCTGCAGGAATTCCCCCGGCAGGGGTTGGTGGTGGTTTCAGTTCCACACCTGTGGCCTCTGCCTGGCAAGGGCTAACCCCACCTGCCTGTCCCCTGTCCCTCAGCTCCATCAAGTTCTGGACATGTACCCGCTCCTCTTCCTCCTTGGTTCAATGCCAGCTGCGAAGGAGAGGAATGACTCTGGGCCTCACCTGATCTGCAGGCTGTGACAGATGTCCCTTCTGGGCAGATCAGGGAAACGGGCATCAGGATCTTATCATCTACTCTGAAAAATGTGGCTGTGATGGCAGACATCTAGGGTGATGTCTTCTAGCTGTTGAATTTCCATTGCGTCCCTGCATAACCCTGTGGACAGTAAGCAAAGCAGCACACATTTCCCACTTGAAATAAAAGAGGGAGATAAGCAGGAAAGATGTAATTCTTTGAAATAATAAAGCCCTGCCTTCTACCTGAGGTTTGCATTTACTGTTATCACCTCCCAATATAATCTCATCCGGCTCTAGTATAAATTACTCGTAATGTGCAATACGTGTAGATACTGGGAAAATAAATGGTCTGTTAAACAAATATTGCTTATCTTCCAGAGCAGAGAATGTAGATGTGTGTCAAATAACTCAGCCAGATCTTTCATTATAGCTGTAAATAACAGCTGAGTAAAGTGACATTTTCATGGACCTGACATGTTACCATAGTGGGAAAATGTGGTGAGAGATTTGCTTATGCCCTGGCTAACTTAGGAGCTGGGAATTTGGGAAGCCATATCCTGTTTGTAGCCCTGACACTTGGAAAACCGTTTCCCCTTACAGTCCCTAGAGATCTAATGCCACATCTTAGTGCCTTCGCCATAATGACCGTAGCGAAAGGAGTCGGTCAGTTCTGGTTCTTCGTGCTCTCTGGGGAAGCGCTTTGGAGGTTTATGTATTTCAAATCACATTAATTTCCTTTCCTTTTTTGCTGCCTGGAATTTGAAAGCTAAAGAACAGTCAGTGCTGTCGTTTAGCTGTAGGTTGAATTCCGTTCAGCAACCAATTTTATCTGTGTTTATCTATCTGCTACTTGCAGAAAGCAGAGTTTAGCTGCCCAGGCCGTTACATGCCTAAAAGGCATCAGAGGGAAGAGGCAGAGGGAAAAATGCAGCCGAACAAGAAAGCACTTCATCTTTTTAATAATATTGTAACTCTTTGTTGGTTGAAACAAATTATGTACTGGAAAGGAAATAAAAATAATAACACATTTACTGCTTACTAGTCACCTTGGATCTGTTTTGAGGGCATAATGTCTACACATGGAGGTCACTATTTGATCTCTCCAGTGTCCTTCCTTTCCTCTCCTCAACCTTCCTGGACTACCAGACTACCTCCTGTCCAGGCATGTCCCTGCACAACCTGACAGGGTTGTGGTGGCTTTTGCAGAGCTGTGTCTGGTAAATACCAGCACAGCTCCAATGACCGAGGACAGATGAATCAGGTCTCCTACTGCAGTGTTCCAAGAGAGCAACTCTTGGATAGACAGACCTCAGCTGTGCATCCCTTGTAGACAGCCTGGTCTAAAGTGATGTGGGCTTCTCCTCTGCACCATCAATAACCCCCAGTAGTGGCAGCAAGCTCTGCTTCCTGCCAGCCCATCTGTGGTGCTGGACAGTACAGAAACCTACCTTATTTGTGAGGTGTCCAGAGATCACCGAGTGATTGCTAGAAATGAGCCAGGGATCATAATTTTTTCATTCACTGCACAGCAGTCCAGTGCTCCTCTTCTTTCAACCATTCCTGTGCAGAAGAAGAAAGAATTGAATCAGTATTTTTTTGACAGGAAGAACATTTTTGTTTTGTTTTTACCTTAAAACAGTTTGGAAGGAACTGGTATCAAACTCTTGCCAAAAAGCCAGCTTTTGACACGTGCAAAGCATATAACATTTCAGCCCCAAAGACAAATCTTTTGGAAAGCTCACATCCCCTGCTCCTTGCTTCCCAGCTCCAGGTGAGGTGCAGGAGCCGACATTTCAGAACATCACTGGAGGGGAAACGAAATGTCACCTGAAGTGCCTTTCAGTCCCCGCTGTGTAAAACCTGTGCTTACTGTTTAGTGACCCCTTCATGCTGTGCAAGCAAATCAGTTGCTGTTTGTTGAGCACCGTGCAGCGTTCTACAGATGATCTCTATTTTTAGGCCATGCCTTGTAAGTTATTTACATCTTTCATGTGCAGACTTCCAGGTCACTTCAAGGTTTCTGACCTGCAGCAACTCTTGCTACTACTTGTGGAAGAAAAGTGTGAGTCCGTAATGGTATTGACAGGCAGTAGAAGTCCTGGCTTTGGCTTGCCAATGTCCACAGTTGTTCCAGGTTTCTAAATTAGGCCAAGCCTGCAGTTCTGAGGTTGGTGCTCATTTATAGCATATGAAATGCATTATGAAGTGCTTGTTGTCACCCTTCCCTACCCAGAGCAAGGTAAACTATAACCCACAATGGAAATACTCTCATCACCACTCCATACAGAACTAACCTGGAGAAGATTTAATCCTGCTCTCACCAAGTTCAGTGGCAGCTTTTTGACTCTGATTGCTTTCAGTCACGCATACCAGTGCCTCCATTCCTCCGTGCATGCTGGTATTGTTTCTGCAGCATGTTCTTGTTTCCTGCTCCCTGCTGTGGGACTTGTGCTTTCCACGGACGGGTTGGCCGTGGTGCCCGCGCTCTGACCGAGCGGCACCCCCGGCACAGCGGGCTGGGGAGTCTGTGCTGTACAAACACTGGGGGCCAGCTGCCCCAGCAATGTGCCAGCTAAGACACAGAAAGGACCTTGCCTCCCACATCCTGGGGATGTTTAGAGCACACTTAGTGTCAGCATTTGTTAGCAAGAAGTGTGAAGACTTGTTTGCCTGAAAGCACTGAAACGGCTTCTTTGAAAACACTTCTTTAAAGGAGGGACACGTATCCCCAGCCTGGCTTCCTTTGCCAGTTCAAGCACTCTGCAGCTCTCTGCAGGTGAATCCCCAAAAGGGCAGCCTGCCTGCTGTTCACAAAGCCCATGAGTGCCTGTCCACATGGTGTTTGACTCCTGCACCCAAATGAACCTCTTCTCACATAAAAGATGTCGTTAGAAAGAGCTCTGGCCATGTGCAGACTGTTAAAAGCTGGATATCTGCACCCTTGTGAATTGAGGCTTGTCTGATATAAACAATTCACATTTCAGAAGCAAAGAGCTTTATTTACGACCAGAAAGGCTCCCCTTGCCCTGCCCTGTCAAGAGTGTTGAAAGCAATCCAGAAGTGAACTTTGCCTTTTGGCCAGTGTTTGGTAGGAAGGGTAAACATATACATACATATATATATATATATACACATATGCACATATATTTTACCTTTGTAAATACTGTCCTCCTTTGACAATGGAACAGAAATACTCAATGAAAAAGAGAGGTTGGCCATTTTACTTTATAGCACTACTTTACACAGTAGTAAAGTGCAGGGATATTTCAGTATGGAAAGAATAAACAGCTTTGTGGCTTTGGGACACAGAATTGAAGGGCTTGGTGAATTCAGATGGAGCAGTGACATTTTTTTGACTTAGCCTGAGGCAGAAAGTCCAAGCCACAAGAGAAAACCAGACCTCAGCTAGTGGGAGCTGATGCTGTTGAGTGGACTCAGCAGGGCTTTGCCAGTTAACACCAGCTTGGGGGACACTCTGCTGAGCATTTGGGGACCTCCACAGTGTACAGGGCAGGGCACAGGCTGCAGAACCTCTCCCAGTGCTGCCAGTAGAACCAGGTCACAGCTCCAGTGTTGTTTCCTGTGCCACCCAATCAGAAGATGCTGGGGCACGTGGAAGGGAGAGGCCTGGGATGAGCAAGCCAATACAAGAGCTGTGTCCTCAGCTGCTGTCAGTGGATTCTGTGAGTCCTGAGATGCTCTTGCAGACTTACACGGGTGAAATGTGGCTGTGATTGTAGCACATATGGCCTCTGCATGGTAGAAAGTAGAAAACTCCATGAGCTTTTCAGCCTTCTAGAGACCCTGCACAGAGGCTGCCAGGCATCTCCTTTAAAGAAAGCCCATGTCCCTGTGGGTCATAAATATCTGCTGACAGAGAAGTATGTGCAGGGACTGAAACATGCAATGACATTTTTCCAGGAGGGCAGGATTAGGCTTAATTAGCTGCTGGGCTTAGTCCAGGCACCAGACACAGGATCTCTATATGTGGGAACTGATGTTTAAGAGCACCTCAGTATAGAGAACTGGGATTACTCATTTCTGTGGTGGGCAGAGGAGCTTAGGCTGGACTGTGACGATTTGTCAGAGTAGTAACTTCAGGGTGCAGTTAGTCTTTAAATCCAGTTTTTGGTGTCACGAATTGGAACAGCTCCATTCATTATAAACTCCTGGCTTGAAACTGGTTTCCTGCATTGCAGAGGCCACAAGGTGCCCCAGTGTCTCACCCCACCCTCAGCTGTGCATGGTTAACTAGAATATCCCTTGGAGCATGAGAGCCATTTTTGGCACAGAGACTTCAGCAACAGCAAGTCTCCCACTTCCTCTGCTAAATCAGTGTAAGATATATATATATATACACACACATATATATACATATGTATATATACATATACACACACACATATATACATATGTATATATACATACACACACACACACATATATATACATATAAATATAAATACACATCTCACTTAAGTAGACCTATATCCTTTAAATCAGCAGACTGAAGCCCTGTATCTATGTTAGGTCAGATGTGGAGCACTTTTCCACATCTGGTGCACTCTGGTGCACTTTGAGTGTTTGTAAGACTTGTTAATTCATAATAGTAAAGGTAATATCAGGGCTAAAGAAAATCCCCAAACAATTGCAATTCCTATAAGAAACAGGAAAGGAAGAAGGAAAAGAAGGGCTAAATTTCAACGAGCAGATACCGCAGCATGGAGTGCCAGAGATCTGGGCAGAGTCACGTACCTGGGAGGTGTTGGTAGGTGAGGGCAGCCCACAGTGTCGCATCAGGCTGCTCAGCTGCCAGCCACAGCACATTAGGAACCTCATCTGGTGTGTCCCACTTGCTGTGCTCTCCTTTCCTGCAGATGCCTTACCTGCTCCTGAACCCGTCCATGCCAGAGATAAGGCCTCGAATGCACCCTGTGTTTTTTGGAGAAAGCATTGAGGTCAGCCCTGAGCCCGTGCAGGAAATCAGGTACAGATGGGATTGGGTGGGTAGGTGGGGATTTCTGTGTTTTTCCTGATGCTTTTCCTTTTGCCAAAAATTAAAATGTGTTTATGAATGGGAGTCATGGTTATTTTGATGGGAAGGGAGGGACAGGTGGGAGAGTAAAGCCTGAATTAAAGACACTGACAGCAGCAGAGGTGGAGGGGAGGAGGCAAGAACTGGAGGGAGGTTTTAACAGAAGGCAGCTTTCCTTCCAAGGCCAGCTCAAATCCAAGGCTATGAGACAAAACCATTACCATCTGTGGGCTTGATAGCTCCACTAGCTAATCTGATAGTCTTCATACTGTTCCCAGATGACTTGTATCTTGAGAAGAAGCAACACCCTTATAATTGGCACCTGTTTTTGTTAGCCCTTGCAGCAGAGAAAGCAACATTAGACCAGTCCATAGAGACTGAATGAGCTCTTCCTAGTGAGAAGATGGTCCCTCAAGGCAGTGATGGAGATGTTTTGTGGGGCTGGTGGATAAACATCGGTCTCTGCTCTTCTTTTCCTCTTTTGCTGGTGTGGAATGTACTCCAAAAACAGCCTGGAGCAGTTACACACAGCTTGGGGCAGGGACAGTGGGAGGACTGTAAAGCAAATTCCCACCTCCCTCAACCTATGCAACGTCTCTCTGGAAATGTACCCCAGTAAATCTCTGCTGGCTGAGGAACTGCCAGCGGGCATGTTTTTATGGTGATTACATCTGAGTCTTGTTTTATGTGTGCTGAATGACTTGCTTACACCCTGGCTGTGCAAAATACATTACGGCAGCTCAGATTACACTCAGTGCACAATCAGTCAGCCCCCCTCCGGGTGGAGGTAATGACGAGCACACACCCAGCTTTTAATCTTTTTTACGTGGAGCTGCACATTCCTTGGCTGCTGATTGCTAGAGGAGCGTTTGGGGAGCAGAGAAAACCAGTGAAAGTCCTGCTGTTCCTCGTGGCTAGGAATTCTAGGGAAAGCCCTTCACGTGGCCTGCTGTCTGTGGCCTGCTGTCCCTACATCCCTTGTGGATGCCTGCAGAAAACAGGCGGGGTAGTGACATTCCAGGTTTTGTGGGTTCTTCATGTGGCTGTTCAGGTGGTCACTTTCTTTGAGACCAGTGGGGCCTGGGTATTGGGCAGCCATAGCCTGCAGTAGGCCAATGCTTTACCTTCTCTGTCACCATTGCTTGGATTTTCTGTAGGCTCCAACAAGCAACCTCACTCCTCATCTCCCAGCACTCTGAGTTTAGCTAGCTTGGGCGTCTTCGTGCTCTGATGGCAAGGCACTACAAAGAAAAAAGACAAACACACAGCCTTGACAGCTCAACAAGTCCATTACAGGGTGTTTGCCTCCAGTGTAGCTCTCAGGGCTGAGCTGAGGTTGCAGTGGGGCCTGTGGAGAAAACCAGAGGAAGAAGTGGGTGGTTTGGAGCCTGTGCACCAAGGTGTTTTCTGCCCTGGCAGGACCATGGTCCCCTGTGCACATGCACTGCAGAAATGCTGAGATGGATTCACAGCAAGGGGTGGTTCCACCAAGATTCACCAGAAGGACGGAGTCCTCTTTTGGCCCTTGCTTTGGGTTGTAGAGCTGGCATCAGCCCCAGTGTCTGTGCAGTAAGAGATCATAAACATTTCCAGCTTCAAAGGGTTAGAGCAGAGCCCTGCCTGTCTTATCTCCTTTACTGCCTGGGCTGAGTTCCTGATACCTTGCTGTCCTCTGTAGGTGCAATTCCGAGGTGAAGTACGACTCCGAGAAGCATTACCGGGACGACATTTTCTATGGCCCCATCCCCACCGTCACCACCTACAGCGAGACAATCATCGCTGCTCCCAACTGCACCTGGCGGAACTACAAGTCCCAGCTGATCTTCGAGCCCCGCCAGAAGCCACTGAGGTTTCAGAGCACAACCATCATTTTTCCCAAGCGTGCCAAGAACATTTACCGGACCACCCTCAGCTACAGCTTGGGTTGTGCCAAGCGTTGGTTCGCTTCCAGCGTGCAGCTGGAACTCTGTGAGGAAACCAGCCCGTGCGTCATCTACAGCGAGACCCTCTGATCCGCCCCGGCAACCGTGCGACCTCCGGGAAGGCCGCGGCCTTCGCTGGGCCTCTGGCTGGGCCTTCATGGATGGCAACTGAACATCAGTGGCTGGAGAACACCTCGTTGTGGGTGAGGCTGAACTGGCTGGGAGGAGGCTTGCAGGGCACAGGATGGTTTTGATCGGTGAGAGAGGCTGGCTTGTATTTTGTGACATTCCTGATGTTCATGATCTGGATTTTGTTTTTTGGGGGTTTTTTTTGTTTGTTTTTTTTCTTGAGCATATCTATTTTTGAGTTGTGTTTAGATGAAATCAAGATGACCAAGGACCCTGTTACCCGTAGCAGAGCCTAGCGAACTCTGTAGGTCTCGTCTAGCACATAGGTGAGAGTCACTGTAACATTCAGAGCTATTTTGATCTCTGCAAAGGGAAGACCAACTGCAGAGTCAGCGTCTGGTCAGCCCGGCATAGACCAGGCCAGGTCTCAGAGCTGAAATGCAGAGGAGTTGGTTATTAATACACCACAGCTTGCTCCAACAGCTCATCTGAGAGGGAGCTGCAGTATTACACCACTGCAGTCACCTCAGGCCTAACTTCCTGGGAGCAGTGGGGACTGTCACCCCAAGAAAAAGGAGAAAAACAGGCGCCTGGTGCTCTTGCAAGGCACAGCACAGCTGGGAGATGGGAGAAGGGCCTGCCCTGACCCAGCCACATCTTCTGTGAGCCCAGCTGAGAGTAAGCACCGGAGACTGAGGAAACTGAATAGGTGGGGGGCTAGTTTCTAAAACTGAGCAAGTGATTTAGGAGCCCATTGCCCTTTTTCAAAAGTTTTGTCAGTCCAAGTATGCTGTGCTGTTCACTGCCTTGAACACTCAGTTTACAGGGATCTTTAAGCACTTGGAATCCTTCTGAGTTTCAGGGAATGGCACTCTTGCAGGGAAGAGCATAGGGCAGGAAGATGATCTCTGGCTTCAGAGAAGCCCAGGGCAGGGTTAACTCACCTTCCCAATGGTTTCCATACTTGTGGCATGGACAGCTTTTCTGACTGTGGAGGAGCAGCCAAACTTTCTGTGTAGAGCTTTAAGAACCTAAATCAGTCCAGGTCTTTCTAAATCATCCAGGCTGTAGCAATTCAACAGGTATTTCACAAACAGCTGAGCTGTCTCTGCAAAAGGACCAAGAAACACTGAGTGAGCAGGAGTTAGTACAGCCTGAGGTAAACCATTCCCCACTCATGAATCCCATTTCCTGGTATCCCTTCAGCTTGCTGAAAATCTGCAAGAGCCTGGATTCCCACAAACATATAACTTTTGAAAATAGCACAGAATTGTCTCCAAAAATCTTACCAAGAATTCTTGCATGCTGCTCAGACTTAGAAAATAACCACACAGCTCCGGAAATTAATTTCCAGCTTTCCCTCTTCTAAACTTTCCATTTTGTTCCTGACTTGCTGTGAGTCTGATGGAGTAACTTCAGAACACAGCTGAGCAGCCAAGTCAGAAAGCCTATTAACGATGTCAACAAGATGTAGCTGATTGCCCAGAACAGTTGATGCACAAACCCACAGAGATTAAAAAAAAAAAAAAATCTGAAAAACTTGAAAAAATAGTAAAATTAAATAGTGACTTATAAAGATACTCTTTCCATAAGTTTCAAAAAGCAACTGGTAAATGTGACCAGAACTGTGACCTTTATGAAACAGAGTTCTCTTGTTTAAAATGAAGCAGTTTTTCCACCAGAGGTAAATATAAAGTCTTTATATATAAACTTAAATCCTGACAGCTGAAGAATCACTAGCACTGAAAGATGTGTGTTATGGCAGTGATGAACTCTGCTTCTCTGGGAGTTAGCACTTGGTAGGGAGAAACCTCTCAAAGGATTTCCAAGGCTTCCACCTACTGTTGAATTCTTTACAGCAACACAAACAAGGATTATATTTGTTATTGGTCAGGTTTTGCTGTCACTGACTGTCAGCATCAAAGCCTGGAAAAGCACTGTCTGCCTCTGAAGGGATTATTGTGCCTGAAGCAACCCTTCTCCCCAGGGCACCAGCAAACATGGAGTTGGCTTAGGCAGCAGGGAGGAGATGTGAAGATGAACATGGTCCCGGTCCCAGTGCAGTTAAGTTGGTGATGCACTTACTTGCTAGTTCATCCTGAGGTCTGTCCTGTTCTCCAGGTGTTGCTGAGCGAGCCTTGGGACTGGGGGAAATACCCACCTGCCTTCCTGGGTACACATGAAGGCTCTGGAGGGCTCATTGCACACATCCATGAGAGTCTGTACAAAGGGGGGCAGGTTTCCAAGCTGAGCACCACTGTTATCCAGGTTCAAAAGCAGGGCCAGCACTCACACCCAGGAGATCCCTGCATGATGACAGATTAGATTGCAGGCACCTCCACTGAGCAAGCGTGGAGACAGGCTGGCCTCAGAGCCAAAGGGATGCCAGAGTCTCCCTGTTCTGACCACACATCACAGGCTTTGCTCCTGTTAACAGCTTGATTATTCCCTTGCTTCAAGCACAAAGCTGCAATTTTTGATCACATTGATCTTTGAGCAGGACAGGTTTTCCCCGGAAAAAATCTCTTTTATCATGACTGGCTGCAGGCTTCTGCCAGCCTTCTCTGTTAATTCTGCTTCCTAAATATTGGCCACAACAGTAAAAAAAAGAATTCAAGGAAAGCCAAAAAACTAGTGTGCAAATACAAATCCACCAGAGAGACCTGAACCTCAGCCTGGACTTTCACCACACAAGGACAGGGGCTGCAGAGGCAAAGTCTCACAGGTGGATGTGACCCCCAGGAGGGTGCAGTGGAAAGCTGCATCCTTGGCACTGGAGGGTCCCACACACCCAGGCCAGGCCTCTTTGAAGCTTCATGCTTTGTTTTCTCTGCAAATAGACTAGAAATGACCTAACATGCTCCTGCTCCTTTGAGTTTAAGCAGCTTTTGTGGTCTTGCCATGTTAGGGGAAAAAAAAAAAGACAGAGCAGTGTGGGTTTCTAGGCTGCTGAACACATTCTGAGCTGTGTGGCCACAGTGGCTATGGTGGGACTACAACCCTGGACCACATCCAAAGTGGGACATTGCCTGAGATCTGTAGAAATTTTTGAAAAATACCTTCTTACGTGGTGTCTCCCATGAGCCCATCACAAGCTGCTTTTCTTCTCAGCAAAAGCTGGCACTGGAAAGGGACTTTGTTTTTCCTGAGGACAAGGAAACCACAGAGGGTCAAGTCTTCACCCTTGCCTGGGCACAGATCCCACCCTGCCTGTCCACCCTGTCCCTGCTGCTCCCATCGCTGTGGCTGGGTTAGGCAGTGGTGGAAGAGCCAAAGTTCACCTTACCATGACTGGGAAAAGTGATGACTTTTTTGTTTTGCTTAAACACCAGAAACTGTATTTTGTGTGTGTGTTGCCAATGAAGAATTGCTGCAAGCAGCCAAGAAGTGCCTCATGCCATACCTGTAGTATGTTTGTACATCTAAAAGGAATGATTAGTCCCACTAGGGAGGTGCTTTTCTTTTAAATGGAGCATTATTAATCTCAACCAACAGATCTTTATTCCTCTATATTTTCTCAAAGATATAAGTGATTAATTTAGACCATGGAAAGGTGAGTTTCCTTGAGCAGCTCGGACTGTGGCTGCACAATTTCTCCCTGGGATCCTGATGTACATGTTGCCCACAGTCCTGTAAGCCTGATGGGTAAAGTTAGACTCTGCCTTTTGGAATTATTGTCCATCAAGAGTTATTTTTGAGATCAAAAGCTTTCACAGAAGGCATGTTTCTTTTTTGGTGGGATTTGGGGGTAAGATTGATTTTTTTCAATATGGAAACTCACTGTCCCAAAGGTGTGGGGTTCCCCTTCACCCCCTTCATTCCTGTGATTCTTTTGCCCCTGAATGCAACAGAGCATGCTGGTGTCTGGTCTGCCTGCGTTGTTGTCATTACATTTGGGGCCAAAAAGAGGAAACCCTGACTAAATACTGAACTTTCAAAAGCTGTGGAATACTTTGCACAAACCACAGAGAACAACTTTGACCAAAACAGTTTACTGCTTATCTTTATTTTTTGCCTTTTCCTTTTTTTTTTTCTTCCTAAGCAAACTCTACTTTTCTCAATGTGAAATACAGACAGATTTGCACCCTTGGTGCAACATTTCTGAGAATGATGAAATGGGGTTTGGGTGTTGATAGCAGTGTTTGAGTGAGCTGCTGGTCAGAGAAGTGAATGCTATTTACTATTTATGTTGAGTGTGTCTTAAAAAATAGGAAAGGTCACAGAAGGCTAATGAGCAAAAGACTTTGTAGAGCAAAATGAAGACTAAAGACTGTGTGAGTCTGGTCTAGAGGCAAATGGTTCTATGTGTGGACACTGTGAGCTAGGATATTTAGCCATTGTAGTTTTAACCTGCCTTTTTTCCTGTAGGAAGAGGCATTCCTTGCCTTCTTTAGAGCTGAAACAAAATCAGATCCATCCTCTGCCACAGTCATTCAGTCCCACTGAAGTCTGTGAGCATCAGTGTTCCCCAGGCTTACAGGGTACTTACTGTTTGTGTGCCAAGCAAACATGCACAGAGCTGTGCCTCTGGGGAGATGGGGGAATGCTTTATAGGGGATGATGGATCTTATTGTGGGATATTCAGATTTCTACTGCCAGATAAACTGCTCCCTGAGGATCACCTGATCCCTCACAAATTGATCTGTTCTGAATATCTCCCCTAAAGCTTTCCTATAACCATTGGATTTTTTAAGTCTTGGGAGGCACTAATTCTTTTTCAGATACTGTGATGGTCATCAAAATGAGCAACGTATCCTACCATGTAAGTTGTGACCTGAGGATGGGGTTGAAAGGTGTCTGAAGGTTAGAGAAGGAGAACATATAAGTGGTGGAAATGCATAAGGATGTGTCATATTTTTATTTTTGTAAGTCTGATTCTCTAAGTGCTTGTAAAGTACTTTACTGTTGTATATGTGGTGATGCAGTAGTTCACAATATCCTTTTATTTTTATATATTCCCCCCTCCACCATAATCCCTTTCTGTTCAACTCATAGAGAGTAATTTAAGAAGACAAAATTTATATATCATAATAAAATGCTCAAACCATCATGCTGATGTATCTGGAGTTTCCTT